AAGTGTGGGTGATTCGACTCTGTGGAAGTAGCATTAAAATGCTTCTCCCTCACAAAAGTTCTACTAGTGTAATGAGTTTGATACTCAAGAGCTCATCTGTGTAGTAGTCTTGGGCCAGACTAAAGTACGCTTACTAAATAACAATGTGTAAGATATTTCGATTGTGTTTTTCCGATTTCGTTAGACGGTAAAGCTTGACATTTTGCCTCCAGCTGGGGAAATTGAAATCTTTATTTGGCAAATTAAAAATAAAAGCTTTTCTCAAAATGAAAGAAATAAAAAACGATCATAATTAAGACGTAAGAATTTGGCATTAATTACCAGAAAAAGAACTGCAATTAATAAACAATTACTAGGTTTTAGGACATTGCTAATCAGCCATTTTGTAAATTGGAATGGATGTGATTGTAACGTCAAAAGTAATTGCATTTTTATTTAGTGCCAGGAATAATTCAGTTATATTGGCTTAGGGGTTAAAACGCGTCTTGCATTATGCCGTGGCGTCAGTAGAAGTTAGGCATTACAACAAATGAACATTTACAAATTATTTTCTAAATTAGCCTCATCAGATGACTTAATAATGTTAATAGGATTCATTTCAACTTGTAGCCTCTTCCAACTTCATTACAAGTTAGTACACATATACAGGGTGCGATGGATAAATTGTCGTCTAAATGATGCAAAAACTGAAAGTAGCAATGACATTTCATTTTAACAGATATACAGGGTGCGATGGATAAATTGTCGTGTAAATGCCTAAAAAAAAATGAAAATAACACTGGCATCTCATTTTATCAGATATATTTATCAAAATTATACAAAAATATCATGAAATACTAAAGACAAAATGTATTCAATAAAATCGCCATTAGCTTCAATCATGGCCTCCAGACGACTTCAGAATCTCCTGCATCTCTCCTGGACGGTCTCCTTTTTTAAGTTGGTGAATTCTGCCACAATCCTTGATTTCAGTTCCTCTCTGAAGTTACAAGGAGTTTTGATGGTCTCTCGCTCAACAGCGCCCTACAAATAACAATCAAAGGGGTTGCAGTCTGGAGAGTTAGTTGACCAGATGTAAGGGGTGATATGGTTGCAGAAATTGTCTGAAAGCCATGACTGGGTTCTAAATAGTAATCATAAATCAAATTAAATTAGATATCTTATCAACTCTAATGTCCAGACACAAAAGAATGTCTGCCTTTTTGTTTGTTTTATCAGGGGCGTTTGTTGTAGCAAGATTTTAAATTAAAAAATAGTCTCTAATATATGTACATGCCTAAGAATATATATATATATATATATATATATATATATATATATATATATATATATATTCACACAGTCACCCTCTACCTCGAGTGGCCCTTGAGTCTTGTATTGGGCAAATATTATTATTAATGGAAGACACAATCTAAACAACATAGGAGCATATTTGTCTTGACTCCTATAGGGAGATCAATTTACAATGAATTTACACAGCAAATTGCCCCCCCACACCTAGAAGAGAACTAGAAGTCCTACCAGGATTTATTAATGGAAGACGCAATCTAAACAATATAGGAGCCTATTTGTTTTGACTCCTTTTGGGAGATCAATTTACAATTAATTTACACAGCAAATTGCTCCCTCCACCTAGAAGAGAACTAGAAGTCCTACCAGGATTTATTAATGGAAGACACAATCTAAACAATATAGGAGCATATTTCTTTTGACTCCTATAGGGAGATCAATTTACAATGAATTTACACAGCAAACTGGACCTCCCACCCTTATTAACTTGTATAAAATTTAATGAAAACAATTTATTTTATATTCATGAGCTGGTTTTCTTAATCTATATTAGGATGGAAATATATTTATGCATTAAATAATTCACTCTAAAAATATATATATATTTTAACTTTCAACATACTTTTTCTGTAGGTGAGTCAATGCATGTTTCCTATTCATCAACACTAGAACAATCTGAGGGGACCGATATTGAAAGAACTTAAAATGATTACTTGGTTACTTATTTTAGTGCATCATTTTACTTGCAATTATTGTCTCATGACACAAAAAATTTATTTAAAAAAACTCTAGGAGTAAAATTGAAAAAAAGTGACACAGTAACACACTGATAAAGAGAGTGCAAATTTATAGCCTTTGTAGGCTATGGGATTATCACCTTCCCATGCATAGTTTCAACATCACAATTCTCATATATATATATATATATATATGTGTGTGTGTGTGTGTGTGTGTGTGTGTGTGTGTGTGTGTGTTTGTAATTTTTATATATAATATTTATATATTATATATGCGTGATACTTATTGGATTGCGCTCAATATCAGTGATAGAGCCAAAATACTTAGTTGTATTGATGTGAGATTGTGACCCTGAGTTTCACAGCCTTACGATTGGCAGGTAGTCACCTTAAATAAAATAACATTGTCTGATGAATATATATGAACTTGTATATATTCGTGAAACATTTTCGTGTGTCGCGTTTCGTCCCTTAGGAGTTCATCGGACTAGGAGAGGGAGAGAGAGAGAGAGTTTGCCCCAAAATGTATACACATTTCAGGAAAGGAAAAGTAGAGATATAATACTAAATCAATTCAGACATAATGAGACTAATGCAAGTTAACTTTGGGCGCTACAATCACAAGAGATGCTCAAAGAGGTGGCCTTTAGCTTCCAGACATTTATTAGCACGGTGAACTACTACTTGGGCAATATGGGCCAAAGAGTCAGGTGGAATTTCTGCACATGCATTTTCAATTTCTTGTCTAAGGATCGCCAATGTAATCAGTTTCCTACGATACGAAACATCCTTTAGGATCCCCCATAGGTAAAGGTCTAAAAACAACGAAACACAAGTTTCCCTTTCCTATAGTATCTATTCAATTTTTTATAGACTCTGTATATAGTTACAGGCACTTTAAAATTAGCACCAGGAAAAAAAATTACCAGCCGTATTTAAGTCTGTGAGAGCAGAAACGCTTGGGATATATTTTTTTTAAAAAAAAGAAGGAAGATTAATTATGTTACACAGGGTGCAAGCGGGGTGGTAAAAATAAAGGTTTTTTCCCTTTGAATGCGACGAAGACAGGCATTAAACGTAAAAGAATATTGAAGCGAACTAAAGTCAACCCACGCAGTAACCCGACATTATGTCATAAAAAAAATGGTTCACACGCAAGGCTGGAATGAATTACCAGAAATGATAATGTGCTACCTGCTCCCAGAATAGGAAAAACCTGGACACGAATAAAAAATTAAAAAAATAAGAAATAAAATAATCAAAGAGCATTTTTTTCTGATGTTTTTATATAGAAGTATTTTCGTCATTCTTTTTTTTTTTTTAGGTTGCTACGTGCATCGTATTTTTTATTATTATTATTGTTTTGAAACAACGTTTCGACTGATACGTTCTTCGGTCTTCCTAATGTTGTTTTTTTTTAATCTTTTTAACACAGCCTTTCAACTGATAGGTGCTTTGGATTTTTGTTCTGCTTTTTAATACGTTTCGGTCAATAAAATCATCAGTCATCGTCAGAATTTCTACTGTTTCAACACTTTCTACCAATTTTTTTAACGTATTTCTTATTTTTTATTATTTTTTTTTATTTTTTTAGAACAGTCTTTCAGTGGATATATTCTTTGAAATCTCTAGTGCTTTTTTAATCTTTATAACACAACTATTCGGCTGACACGTTCTTTGGCTTTCCTCGTACCTTTTAATTTTCTTTTTAATACAACGTTTCGACCATTAAAATCCTCAGTTTTCCTCAGACTTTCTCCTGTTTTCTATCTATTCGAACTATTTTTAAAAGTATTTCTTATGTTTTCTGTTTTTATCATAGCCTTTTAGTAGATAAATTCTTCGGCATCCCTAAAGTTACTAATCTTTTTAATACAAAATTTCGGCAAATATGATCACAAGTCTTCCTTTTCTACAAGTCTAAAATGGACTATTTTTATTTTTCTACCTATTTTCCGATCCATTTCTCTATTTATTTTTAAATTATTATTACAACCATTAGACTGATACATTCTTTGGCCTTCTTAGGAGTATTTTAATTATTCCATCTACATTTGGATTATTTTTTTCATTTCTTTTTTTTTTTTTTTAAAGAACGTTACGGCAGACACAATCATCAGTTTTCCTTGGATTTTCTAAAGGTATGCGTTTAATTATTTTCATTAATCAACTTATTTATTGAATCATTTTCATCTACGCTTTTTTTTTTTTTTTTTTTTTGACATAAACTTTCTTGCAGATTCTGTCATGGGTCTTCGTAAAGATTTTTAAAATCCCCTTCCCCATGTTTTCTCACGTCCCGATGGAAGTATTTTCATTATTCCATCTCCTTCTGAATTATATTTTGCAGCTCTGATTCTGAAGGAATACGGAATCAAAAAGGAGATTTATAATCGGAAAGAAACGGCTGAAGTTTCTTGGACACATTCTGAGACAGGAGGGCTTGGAGAATTTGACACTTACAGGACAAAAAAGGCAAAATGGACAGCGACTACGTACCTGACCAGCTTGCGTGAATGGATGACAGAACGGTGGTGAAAGAGATGGCAAAAAGATAAACGTTACTTAGAAGAAACAAGGGGTAGAGATTTGTGGTGAGCCATGACAAGCTCGGTCCGAAAAGGACACTGTACTTAGAAGAAGCAAAATTTTGACTGCCTTCTTGGTGTTGTACGAGTTAACGCTCTCATGTTACCTGCATTGAAGAACCACGCTCTTCTCAGTGCTGTCGCTGTTGCGCAGCTATAGATGCTGTAGCCATATCGTCATTTACAGCAGTAGCTGACCTGCCACTGGAGGGCCTGTCACTAACCTCAATCGCTCTTTCCCTCTATGACTGCTTTTCTCTACTCCGTATCTCCGTACTATGAATGTCGCATGATCATTTGTAAAGGCTGGACAGTAAGGATTAGGCACAACCAGCCCAGATATAGCAGCAATACTTCAATTTCTTTGTCTAGATGGATATTAAAC